AGTGGTCATTCAACCGCCATTTTGGAAAATGGCCGCCATTTTGAATCCTAAGGGACAAATCGATTGCCTCCACTTGAAAAATCGATCCTTAGGTACCAATGTACAAGTGTGCAAAGTTTCATGCTTCTACGCAAAAGTGCAGTGCGAAATCAGAAATTGTACTATCCTGCCTCCACTACTTCTCTTAATTCCAGGAAAGCCCCCGCACAAATAAACACTTTCTGGGAGCGGTCACCGGTTAGTCCCTTCACAACAAACTTCGCCATGGCTAAAAACAGAAATGTAAAACATGAAACTTCTAGAAAATGAACATGGTAAACATTACAACTGCCAGGACGTGATAGTTCATCTCTTGCTCTCCTCTAGGGTCATTAAGATGATGACAAAAGGCCAGGGCAGGAGAGGCCTAGGCTAGGCCAAGGCTAGGCCAAGGCTAGGCCAAGGCTAGGCCAAGGCTAGGCTTCTACTTTACAAGTGTTTCTCACGATAAACATCACGAGAAGTATGATCCTATCACTGCGGCACTTCGAAAATAAATAAAGAGTAAATTCACGATGAAAGGAACAGCTCCAAATGCAATTAACTCTATGTTAACCCATGGATTGGCACTAGGTGCGAGGTTAGGAGGCCCATGGTACAGGCGTGAATCCCAACATTTGCATGGAAATTGAAGTGTTACCTCAAATGCAGTTGCGAGATTAAATCCAGAGAAGTTCAGATGAGCACAGATCACACATTCCTGCACAATGGTAACGGGAATCATTTTACTCGAGTATTTGTACAACCGGCAAAAAGTTCAGACGTCACTTTACCGCTACCACTACCACACCACACGTCCACCACCACCACACTCCGCACCGCACTCCCCCTCTCTTGAACTCGAATTGCTTACAGCTGATCAGCTGATTGGCGAACACAGAACACTACAATTTTTTTAATGATGTTTGCGTGTGTAGTTAAGCTTGTTTGCTGTTTCAATGTTTTCTTAGATGTATTTCGGAAATCGGAGCACTCGATCTTTTTTTGTTGCTGTTTCGGCAGTGGTTGGCACCTTCGGTGTTCATATGTTTGGCTCAAACTAAAGGTAACGAGGTTATAAAGGACCATGATGACATTATTAGAACTTAGAAATTGCAATCTTGGTGTGTCTGTCTGGTCCCGTGATCGGCTCGGCTTGGTACCTCACAATTGCTCCAGCTACATAGCGGTAAGCATCGTTATGTTGTTTCATGTAGAGCCTGATTCTGTGAAATTGTATGTTGTATGGCCAATCTGAACCACCAGTCAAGCACAATAATTTATAGTTTTTGTAATCCCTTCAGGAATGGCCTCCACAAATCTTTGGTTGTGTGGTTGTTTTGTGGAAACCCCAGTCAAATTTACCTTCAGGGATGTTCCCCTGACATTTCAGCGCAAGACTGGAGGTGACATTTTTTGGTTTCGGAGAACTGCAACAGGTCCTCTTGAAGTTGCTGTTGTGCTGGGAGTTGGCGGTGACTGCAAATGTTAAGTTGTGAGGAATGCTTAGTATACTTGTGGGTTTAACCTCAAGTGTGTATTTGCTGATTAAGGCATTTTCCTGATGTAAGTGCCAATAACATTAATATACGAGGTCATCACAGACATCTAGTTGTGATAACGCCAAAAGTTCTGAGGGACAGTTCATTTTATTGTTCATGCGCACACTGGTACAAACACATGCTCCCTGAAAGTTGAATCTTTATTAATATGACCATCTCTTTTTA